CCTGCTGATCTAGCAGTAGCCTGCAGTGCTGCTTTTAACCACTGCGCCACCTTGGCCACCTTGGCCCAAACCCTTTAACTCTGGCCAGGCCATCCTCAGGCACCTCCAGAGCCCTGACCGGTGGAAGCTGAGAGGCCGTAGCAAGGAGTCCATCCTATGCCCGGCCTCTGCCTCATGGCACCCAGCTCGGCCTCTGCGGAGGCGCCTGCCGTGGAGACAGTCTCCGTCTTGTCTCCCTCTGCCCGCAGTCCTCCGATGCCTGGGAATCCCCAGCCGAGCCATCTCCAACTTCAACTCTGCCCACGACACCGACATGAGCCTCACAGTGGACGTTTACTACGATCCTGAGGGGAACCCTCTGAACATCGCCACCGACAGCGTCTGGTAAGCTCCCCCCCCCTCTGGGCTCCCCCCTCTCGTTCCCTAGGCCCCAGGTGGCCACAGCTGGCAGGGGGGACGGCCAGCCACCCAACCCCCTCCTCCCATGGCTTCGTTCCTACCTGGGGGGCAGCTCTGGAAGAGCAGCGCCTGATTCTCTCTGCCACGGTTGGCAACCGGCTTTCCAGGAGTGGGGCGGGCACAGGGAGGGAAGCCCTTTGCCAGAACAAAGCAGGGGGGCTGCCTCGGCTGGCAGTGAGCCCAGGTAATGTGGCATGGCAGGGCTCTGTGTGGTATGAAGGCCCCGCTTACTGCAGCCGCCATCGGGGACAAACACTGCAGAGGGACCCAGGGCCATACGGTCTTTCAAGAGCCCCCCCCCCCCCCCCGTAAGCCTCATCCGATCCTCCTAAGATTTCCTCCCTGATCAAAGGCAGGCTGAGGCCTCCTCCCACCCCCATGCCAGCACAGGTATCCCCAGAGGACACCTGCCCTCCCCCTCCCCCTCCCCCTCCCCTCAATGGTGGGAAAGAGGCACCCACTTCAGAAAGAATAATGGCCACTAGGGGGCAGTAAAAGGAGATGAGAGGGAGGGAGGGAGGGAGGGAGGGAGGGGGAGAGCGCTCCCCCTCCCCTCCTCTCAGGTCATCCTTTGCCCAGGGGTCTTGACTCTGTGTGGAAGCAACCTGGACATGCCACCACCACCCCCTTTTCCTCACTTCTCCCCCCCCCCCCGAGTTCCATTTTCACTGGCTGAGGGTTGCAAAAGGCCATTGCAGCCAAAACTGGATGTACAGCTGCCCCCCCCCCCGGCCATGCCCCCTACAGACTTCCTTCTGCCCTGTTTTCTGCACCCGGTGGCGCCTGGGCAAGAAAGCTCCAGTTAGAGGCTGGCGGTCTCTGTGGGGAGGCAGCCCCGAGCGACCCTCCCAGGGAGCCCATCCTGCCTCTCTGGGGAAATGGGGGGAGGGGCCGCCTGCGCTCATCCCTCTCCTCTCTCCCTCCCGCTGGCTGGCAGGAACTTCCACGTGTGGAACGAGGGATGGTTTGCCCGCTCTGACCTTGGGCCCACCTACAACGGCTGGCAAATCCTGGATGCCACCCCCCAGGAGAGGAGCTCAGGTACGAGGGGGGAGGATGGCCCCGCCGGGCTCTCCCTGGCAGGGCGGGGTCAGCAGCAAGGAACCCGGGAAGGAAGGGGCCTGGGAGGTCTTCTAGTCCAACCCCTCCTCGCTCATGGTAGCAGCCAGGGGTTAACAGAGGGGAGGCCTAGGTGGGAGCCGCACCCACTCCCCCCCCCCTAGATTTTGAAATGTCCTAGAAAGAGGGCTTGGGGCAGGAGGTCCGGCCCAGGGGGAATGCGCAACGGGTCAGTCTGTGGGACTCCCCCCCCCCTGGTTCCCCCCAAATAACCAGCCATCAGGCCACGGCACTAGGTTCTCCTTAGTTGTTTTGAGGGGGGTCCCCTAAGCCCCCTTTTCTGTCATCCTTTTGTACTCCCTGGCTCTGTAAACCATCCTTGGCGATCCTGCCCCCTGGTGGGCAGAAGGCAGCATCCCGCATCTACGCGCAGGACAGCCCTGTATGCTATTATTCATCAGTTCTGTTTGGATGGCTGCTTATGGCTCCCCCTGGCGACGCTGCACAGCTAACCACTTTTAAAGCCCTCGGTTCAAAGCACCTGGGTGGATATCCTGGCAGCTGAACCAAAGCCAACCTCGGCTAATGAACTTCGGAGGCTTCCTGCAGAGCCAGAGCCGAGCAGGATGCGGCCGCAGGGAATCCTTCATTCCCAGATGCCGTATTTGCATTCCTGTAAGGAGAGGCTATTCCCTGACGGAGCCACCTAAGCGAGTAGCTGGCAGCTCCACCGCCTGGAGTTGCCGAGGGGTTTTCTGCTGCCCGGCTCCTGAGGACGCCAGCGCTCACCAGGCGCTCTGTACCCAGCTCCACCATGGGCATCCCTCCCTCCTCTTAACCCTAATCGTCTCCTTCCCCAGGCATCTTCCAGTGCGGCCCAGCTTCCCTGACGGCCGTCAAGGAGGGAGACGTGGACCTGGTGTACGACACCCCGTTTGTCTTTGGAGAGGTCAATGCGGACCGTGTCACCTGGCTCTACAATCCCAGGACCGGAGAAAAAAAATTGATTTACTCAGAGACCAAATCCATCGGCCAGAACACCAGCACAAAAGCTGTGGGCAGCTACTCCCGCCGGGACGTCACCGGCGAATATAAATACGCAGAAGGTAAGGCCGATGAAGGGGGCGCCTTCCTTCCAGCTCCGCATAAATTGGGTGCTGAATCTGGGGGCCTGAAGGCTGCAGGGTTAATGCCGGGCATAGAGATCACACCTGCTGCAATCTATTCGTGCATTTATTACATTTGCACGCTGTAGCCCTGATTGACGAGGCAACTCCGGGTGCCTTGCACGGAATAATTAATAAAGATTGAGTAATTAAAGGGGTGATTAATGTTCTTGGTGAGTCACCAAATCTTTGCATTGTGGATTTTGCCACTGAAGCTGACAGAGGGCCGGAGGGCAAGCCGAAACCCAGCCAGTGGCGGCAGAAGCAGCCGCAGAGCGGAAGCCTCCCACTCACGCTGCCTTCTGCTCCCGAGAAGCTGGCGGAGCTGCCAGGGCCAGAGCGCCTCTTTAGGCAGCGGTGGAAGCCGCCAGGGCCGGCTTGTCCCACCCGGGAACAAGTGATCCTCAGCCCCCTTTCCTCCCCTGGCCCAGACGGGCAGCTGGGTGGTTCAGACCCCCGGAAACCGAGAGGCCTCTTGGCACAACGCAGCCTCTCCTGGCACACCCAGACACCGCCGCTGTGGTTCCCTCTCAGGCTCGGACAAGGAGAGGGAAGTCTTCAGGAAGGCCCGTAGCAAGCTGAACCTGGACACCCTCTCGGCCACGTCTATCAAGCTGCCCGAAGCAGAGAAGCCCATCTCGGGGAAGTTCAAGCTGGAGAGCCCCCCAGAGGTCGGCAAGGACGTCAGCTTGGTCTTCCAGGTGACCAACTTGGCTTCGGAGCAGAGGAAGCTGACGGCCAACATGACCGCCTGGTCCATCATCTACACCGGGAAGCCCATCGGCGAGGTCTGGAAGGACACCCTCAAGATGGACCTGGGCCCCCAAGAAGGTAAGTCCCAGGGAGAGCAGCAGGCTTGACCCCCAGCTGCAGGAGGGCGGAGCCCACGCCTGGCCCCCTTCCTCCACCCCCCCCCATAGTGGACCGAGAGAAGAGAGGGGTGTGGGCACAAAACCGTGTGGGTGAGTAAGGAGAGGATTGGCCTTCGAGGGCTGGCCCTTGTGCCCGGGTGGCAGCAGGTGGCTTGGTTGGCATCCAGCCCACGACCAGAAGGGAGGCAGCATCCCGGCCGGGACCAGCATGGCGCTCTTCCCCTCTTCCTGTGGGCCTCGGTCTGCCCCACCCACCGATGGCCACAACGAGGTGGACTGCTGAGCGTTTGTCCCCCACCTGCGGTTGTGGGCAGGGGCGCAGTGGCCAGGAAAAAGGGCCCAGAGCTTGAGAGCCGCAGGACCTTCGCGGGGCATCAGGCGCCTTGCTGGGTCAGGCCTTCCTCCTTTCGACAAGGGGTTGCCTCGGCACGCAAAGGCGCAAAGGTCGTCCCGGGGGGGAGGGGCGCAGCGGGGCCGGGCAAGGTCTTAGGGCCGGGAGGTTGGCAGCTGCTGGGCTTGAGATTCAGGGCTGCGCTCGGTGCCCCTTTCCTGTAGGTGGGCATCCTCCCTTCTGCCCTGAAGGAGAAATGCACCTGATCCAGAAGGGAAGATCTTTTGAGCTTTGGGGCTTCAAGAATTGCAGGCAGAGAAAAAAAAGGAGCCCTGAATGACTAAACCCTCCAAGGGGGGCTTCGCGCAGCCTTCACCCTCCCCACCTCAGCAGCCGCCTTGTGGCAGCTTGAATAAGCAGAGGCAGCATGGCGCACGCACGCAGCCGGGCAGCTCCTTTCAAAGGCAGCTCTGGGGCACCCCTGTGCGTGGGCTCACTCCCCAGCAGAGGGGCACTGGGGGGGGGGAGAGAGTGGGGAGGGGCTGCCAGGCGGGTCCAGCTGAGATACAGACACGGACGGACTTTTCCTTTCAGAGAAAAGCTTTCCTATCAAGATTTCCTACACCGAATACCAGCGGCACCTCACCGCAGACAACATGCTCCGTGCCACTGCCCTGTGCCAGCTGGAAGAGGGGCAGGACACCGTGGTGGAAAGAGATATCACCCTGGACAACCCCTCCATTGCCATAAAGGTGGGCTGGCTCAGTGGGGGAGGGATGGCCTTGGCCAACAGCCCCCTCTGGCTGGGCAACGGCCAAAGCCGGCCAGGGCCAGGGGTGGGGGGTGGGCCAGCCATGCCTGTGGCTCCTGGGCTCCCGCCAGGCCTTCAGGGGGGCTGGACTCACCGGGCTCTCTGCTCCGGGGCAGGTGCTGGGCCAGGCCAAGGTGGGGCAGGCGACGAAGGTGGAAGCCAACTTCACCAACCCCCTGGATGAGGAGCTGAAGGAGTGCGTCCTGCAGGTGGAGGGCAGCGACCTGCTGGCAGAGAAGCTCAAGATGGAGTAAGTGCCGGGAGGGTCCGGAGGGGGGGGGGGCTGCGGGGGGCAGGGGGGGGGGGGGGCCAGGTGACGGCTCTGCTCTGCCAGAGAGGAGTTTCCAATTAAACACCCCGGACCACTGTTGGGGAGCTTTGGGGGCTTTGCTGAGGGGGGAAGACGAGGTCAAACTGAGCCTTTTCCAACCGTGCCACAAAGGTTGTGGAG